GGGCAGGGCTCAGTGCAGCAGAGGGGGGGTTGGCTTGGTGTGCAGGGGAGGTATGATTGCTGGAAGTGGGCTCAGGCGTGTAGGGGTGTATGATTGCAGGCGATCTGGGCGCAGAGTGCAGGTGATCTGGGCGCAGAGAGCAGGGTTGGTGCAGAGCAAGGCTGGTGATGGCTGGCGGGCAACGTAGCAGGGGGGTGCAGGGTGCAGGTAGCAGGGCTAGGGGTCGGGGCTCGGTGCGTAGCAAGCAAGGGCGCAGGCTCGGTGAAGGGCTTGTTCACCATGAGCAAGGCTCGGGTGTGTGGGGGAAGGAGAAGGTTCTGGAGAGCAAAATATCTTCTTTTTTTTTTTTTTGGGTTTTGGGTAATTGGGTTTGAGTATTTGGGTTTTGGGTAATTTAATGGGCTCAATTGAAATGGGTTGGTGTTGGGTTTGCAAATTTGATGAATTTCACCCTTAAACTTTTAATTCCTTCAATTGAGTCCTTTCTCAAGTTTCTTTTCTTCATTTTCTTCTTGAGTTTCTTCTTTTTGCATGTAGCACCTGAAAGAAAAATGAAGATATATTAGTTAAAGGAAAGAGAAAATTCATATTTTTATATTTTTGTGCTTTTTTTTTATTTTTTTTATTAATTTTGTGATTGATATATATATATATATGAAAAGTCTAAATAAACTAAACGAAAAATCGAGTTATGACAGTTGCCCCCTCTTTATTTTTTTTTTTGTTGTTAAAAAAGAAAAGTAAAGAGAAGAAAAAAAAAACCCGATTTTAACTAAAACATGGAGAGAAAGATAAAATAAAGAGAGATCTAACCTGTAAGCTTGATTTTTGGGCAACTGGAAATAAAAGAAAGAAATGATAATATGAAATGTAAAGAGATGTGATGTCAAGCAGATGAAAATGAAAAAGAGCCACTTGTTGGGCAAGTATGAAATGAAAAGCCGCATGTTAGGCAAATGAAATGCCACCCGCATGTTGGGCTAAATGATATGCAAGCCGTGTGTTGGGCTGATTGATATGCAATGCCGCATGTTGAACATAAATGAAATGCTAGCCGCATGTTAGGGTAAATGAGATGCAAGTCGCATGTTGGGCTAAATGAGATGCAAGCCGCGTGTTGGACTAAATGATATGCAATGTCGCATGTTGGGTATAAATGAAATGCTAGCCGCATGTTGGGCTGATGAAATGCAAGCCGCGTGTTGGGCTGAATGATATGTAATGTCGCATGTTGGGCATAATGATATGCAATGCCGGATGTTGGGTATAAATGAAATGCTAGCCGCGTGTTGGGCTAAATGAAATGCAAAGCCGCGTGTTGGGCTGATGATATGCAAAGCTGTGTGTTGGGCTGAATGAAATGCAATGCCGCATGTTGGGCATAAATGAGATGCTAGCCACATGTTGGGCTAATGAAATGCAAGCCGCATGTTTGGCTAAATGATATGCAATGCCGCATGTTGGGCATGAATGAGATGCTAGCCGCATGTTGGGCTAAATGAGATGCAAGCCGCGTGTTGGACTAAATGAAATGCAAAGCCACATGTTGGGCTAATGAAATGCAAGCTACGTGTTAGGCTGAATGATATGCAAAGCCGCATGTTGGGTTGATGATATGCAATGTCGCATGTTGAGCACGAATGAAATGCAAGCCACATGTTGGGCTAAATGAGATGCAAGCCGCTTGTTGGGCTGATGATATGCAATGCTGCATGTTAGGCATAATGATATGCAATGCCGCATGTTGGGCATAAATGAAATGCTAGCCGCATGTTGGGCATAAATGAAATGCTAGCCACATGTTGGGCTAAATGAGATGCAAGCTGCATGTTGGGCTAAATGATATGCAATGCTAGCCATGTGTTGGGTTGATGAAATGCAAGCCGCGTGTTGGGCAGATGAAATGCAAGCCGCGTGTTGGGCATGAATGAAATGTAAAGCCGCATTTTGGGCTAATGAAAGGCAAAGCCGCATTTTGGGCTAATGAAATGCAAAGCCGCATGTTGGGCTGATGAAATGCAAGCCGCATGTTGGGCTAAATGATATGCAAGCCATGTGTTGGACTAAATGCAATGCCGCATGTTGGGCATAAATGAAATGCTAGCCGCATGTTGGGCTAAATGAGATGTAAGCCGCGTGTTAGGCTAAATGATATGCTAGCTACGTGTTGGGCTGATGAAATGCAATGCCGTATGTTAGGCTGATGAAATGTAAGCTCAAATGTTTGCATGAAAAGTTATGTGAAAAGTCATATTTGCAAACAAAAGTAGTAACATGTCATGTTAGTAGAGAAATGTAATGGAATGCTTATTTGGTAGGAAAATGAAATAGAATGTTAGATATGTCACATTGGTAAAGAAATGTTATGGAATATTTAGTTGGTAAGAAATGTAATGATTGAGAAAAATTGTCCTTGAAAATGAATTGAAAAAAATTGCTTTTGAAATTAAATTGAGAAATTGCCTTTTATAGAAATGCTTTTGGAAATTTCATGAAGGATTTTGAAAATGGTTTTACCTTGTGACCTTGAGATGTAGATCTTTTGGAAAAAGAATTTACCTTGGGTTTGTAATTGCCCTTCAGTTTGAAATTTGTATTGCATGCTAGCATCTATAATTAACTCAATCATATCACAACAATGGCTAGATTTTCTGAATATATCATATGTCAACTGCTCAAAATGATTATGCATGGCAACAATTAAGTTCACTCCCTTGGGATTCTTGTTGCTTTGACTCTATGTGAGCTTTCTCTACTTTCTTTATGAGTAACATGAACAAAACAAAAACTATTTATTTTTGTTGATGAAGGAACTCTATATGAATGATATGTAAGTGAGCATATGATGATAAGAACAAAGAGAGATGGAATTGATAGGTACGAATGGATGACATGATTAAGATGAAAGATATGGAATTCTTGACAAAATGATGAAAGATTTTAAATTCTTGATAGAGAAGAATCTTTTCCTTGCTATCTCAATAAATTACAATCATTTCTTTCATAAAATATAAAGATGATATCTTCAACTCATGGATCATCGAATCATTTGAATGGCTCAACTTCAAAATTTTCACAATTTGCCCCCAACTTTTTAAGGCAAGCATATATTTTTATCACTCAAACCACATTGGAATTTCAAAAGCTTTCAGATCCTCTGATAAGGACTTTTTTTGGCTTGTAATGTGGTCATTGGCTTGGTTAATTTGAAAGAAAGGATATTAAGCTCAAAATGCCCCCTATGCTATTTTCGACCTAGTGATTGAAATCATCAAAACATCTAAAGTTTCAAAACCTTCAAAAAGGACTTTTGCTTTGGGTTGTAATGGGGTTTGGGGTATGGTTACTAAAAGAATGGTCATTAACAGCTCAAATTCCCAATTTGCCCCTAAGTTACATGCCTTTGCTAGGAGCTTCACTTATTTTGAACTCTCTTTTTGGGTTTTCTTCCTTCTA